AGCTGGATGACCCTGTCCAGGTACTGACTGGAAGCAGTATTTTTCACAATGCATTTAGATATGACTACAGTTTAGCATCAGGCAGTGTTCCTTTGAGAGAACTGCAGAGGGCAGCACTTGGCACCAGAAGGCACATGGGAATGCATTTTGAAGACCAAGAGTCCTACTTTTTTGGAAATTGTGTAGTAATGATTGTAAAGATATAGCCAGTGGGTGCCAGTTTTACAATATCTAGGTCTAGGTGAATGTTAAAGTGTATATCTGGGCAAAATAAAATAAAATATAGGGAAATGTCCATGTATTTTGTCTTTTTTTTTTTTTTTTTTTTTTCCAGTTATTTTGCCCAGACATACAAAATTAACGTAGGCTGAGACCTCTTAGGAAGTATGTTGAGTAGCAAAATATTCATGTTTGACTGGAGCATAAGCTTTACATTCAGCTCTGGTGCTTGTGAAAGGCTACAGGCCCCCGAGAGCTCTGTTCATACCATTTGTTCTCATATTGACACTGGTGTGAGTGCGCTAATGGCTCATGGCCCATGTCTAATGGCGTGAAACCACATCGGCTTTGAGTTTATTTCACAGTGTCCAGAACACAGGGAGCATCTTCACTGGCCTCCTTCACGGGAATTAGAGCACATCTCACCATGCTTCCATCTTTCTTCTGAAGGTTCTTTGAAACAGCGAGCACAACTGATTCTATGCCTCCTTCTCTTGCAGATAATCTTGTGTAGAAGTTCTTCCCGTTAAATGATGGTCAGAGATCTCAGGAAGAAGTTGCATGTAAGTACCTCACCACGGGTGATTTGATCTTGGCTTTGTTTGCTCTTGGTTGAGTTGATTGGGGGTTTCAGGAAAGAGAGAGTAGTGGAGGATTCTGGGTGGAGGACAGGTGCTACAACTTCATCAGAAGGCTGGTGGTATATCTGGGAAGACTTCTGTGGGTGGTCCAGGCCCTTTGGTCTCCAAAAAACAGCTTTGATTACAACATTCTGGGGGAAACCTGTGAAAACAGTGTAAACGTTGATGGACTGTTGTTAACAAATGATCGAGCGTCACAGTGAACAGGTTAAAAAGGCAATTATACTTTAAAGTGTATCTAAAGCCAAAACTTTTTTTTTTTATTTGGCAGCGTAGGGAAGAGAAGAACCCCTCAAGTTTTTGTATTGTTGGAAAGGAAAGTCTGAGACTTTTTTTAATACTGGCGTTTATCCATAACAAGAAGACGTAAAATAACCAACTAGAGGACATAAACAGCCTTGGCAGTTTTATGTCTTTTTGTAGTGAACTAACACCAGTAGTAAGATTTTTGGACTCTTAGTTCCTTGATCTGGCACTCTCATTGGACCTTTTATTGCTATATTTCAAGCTCTGGGTACTGTGCTTGTGCTGGAAGAAACCTTACCGGAGCCATTGAACAGGTGTTGAACGTGATTGACCTCCTTCATCCATGAATTACTGATGATTCAAATCCAGAGCCTTAATGCCCAACTCTGGGAAATTTAGAAATGCACCCAATGTAGAGGGTTAATTGCTTGTTTAGTTCTAGAGCAATGGTCTCCAAACTGTGGGGGCCAGATGCGGCCCTCTGCTTGCTTTTATCCGGCCCTTGGGGCACCATTTCATCCATTGATACCAACAATGGGGCATAATTCTCCCCACTGATACCAATGAAGGGGCACAATTCCTCCCAATGACGCCACCAATGGGGCACAATGACATCAATGATGGGTCACAATTACTCCCACTGGCACTAACTAAAGGTGGGGCATTGTTTTTTCCCACTGACATCAAGACCTTTTCCACTCCCAATGGCCATAGTCCGGCCCTCCTAAAGTTTGAAGGACCATAAACTGGCCCTTTGCTTAGAAAGTTTAGAGATTCCTGGTCTAGAGGACAAAGAACAGAAGATTTACTCATCCACTCCTCTGCTACTCTGTGCTGCTAGACCAGTCCCTACAGTATCTTTTCCCCCACAATCCACCCATCTAAAGTCCTGACATCATCAAGACCAATGAAGGGTCCATAGCCCTGCACTACACACAGTGATGCTGAGGAACAGTCTACCACCATAGCGCTGGGGAACGCCATCTGCTGGGGGAGCAGAGGATCAGGTAAGTAAAAGTGCTTCTCCTCTCCCCTAGAATAAACGAGCAGCCAACCCTTCCAGTGGGTGCATAGTCCTACTGCAAGGAATCATTTTTACATTTCCCAGAGTTGATCTTTAAGCTGGCCATACACTAGTCGCTTTTTGAACATATGGTTATAACAAAATTCTCGGTACTTTTGATAACTACCATCAGTCCCACCCCTCACGCCAGGTACTAGGTGTAATCCTAGACTCCAATCTGTCCTTTCAGCCCCAGGTCCAATCATTGACAAACTCATGTAGACTTCACCTCCGCAACATCTCCAAGATACGACCGTTCCTAACCTCGGAAACCACTAAGCAACTCATCCACTCCCTCATCATCTCACGCCTTGACTACTGTAACTCCCTCCTCACTGGCCTACCTCATCGCAGGCTATCCCTACTCCAGTCCATCATGAATGCTGCTGCCAGACTCATTCACCTTAATAACCGCTCCGTATCCGCCACCCCTCTCTGCCAATCCCTCCACTGGCCTCCACTCAGTGCCCTCCACCCCTCTCTGCCAATCCCTCCACTGGCTTCCAATTGCCCAACGGATAAAAATTCAAAACAATAACACTGACGTATAAAGCCGTTCATAACACTGCCCCTATTTACATCACCGACCTTGTCTCTAAATACCACCCAAACCATACTCTCCGCTCCTCACAAGACCTCCTACGCTCTAGCTCCCTTGTTTCCTCCTCCCATGCTCGTCTCCAGGATTTCTCAAGGGCTTCACCCATCCTCTGGAACTCCCTACCCCATGCTATCAGGCTATGGCCTACTCTGCTCACTTTTAGGCGTACTCTGAAAACCCATCTCTTCAGGGAAGCCTACCCCGGCTAATACTGGAATCCCCTACTCCTCCTACCACTCAATCCCCCACAGCTAATTACCTCTTGTACCACTAGCCCCTCCCTCCTAGGTTGTAAACTCCTAGGAGCCGGGCCCTCTAATCCCTCTTGTATTGTTACTGTACTGTCTCCTTCCATAATGTAAAGCGCTGAGCAAACTGTCGGCGCTATATAAATCCTGTATAATAATAATATTAACTTGACAAATGTACTTTTTTGAGCTTCAAAATGTAATTTGCTTTTTACATTCTTGGAAAGAAAGGGATTTCTCGAATTAAAATTGCATACGCTATTAGAAATTTGTTAAAAAAAAAATCTTTAACCCGCACCTTTGAGTTTTCCCATCACCGCGGTGAAAAGCGAATGCCGATGTGACCCCACTAACGATTATAAAAACAAATGGATGCACTTCAAACCTAAAAGTTTCAACAAATCCCATCTAGAGTATGGCCAGCTGTAGCCGTAATATCTCCAGGTCTTTATTGTTGCCATTGTCCCTGCTGGGGTACATTCAGCTTCTCTGTGTGTCCTGTGATTGGGGCTTCAGGCAACCTGGAAGATAATCTGGGAAAGAGAAAACCCACAATTTTGGTGTTGTCATCAGAGCAAGAATAGACGGGAAATGTTCCAATTGGAGTGCTTTTTCTATTGACAACTAAGAGGGAATTTCCCTTTTCTAGGAGAGATTTCCTCTCACTTCCTGTTTTGTCTATAGCTGTCCAAAGAAAACCTGGCGGGGTTTTTTCTTCCTGTATGTAGTTCTTACGTTTGACAGTACTACAGATAGCAGAGTGTCTTGGACATAGGTGGCTTATATTCACTACGAAGCGTCAAGTGCCTCTGCAGCTCAATAAAAAATGTTCTGCAGTACCATTGCTCTATTATTTCTGTGATGATTGTATTATTTTTGTGTAAATACCCATAACAAGGAGATACCAGTCATACAATTGAAGATGCATAGGAAAAGAATCTAGAATGTATCCATGTTGAATAGACCTGCTTAGATTCGTAGGTCACGTGGTTTCCAACCCAAGTTAATCCCGGACAAGCCCCCAGTTGGTAGTCTCCGACCTGGTTATAGAACATCTTGCTTACCTAGGGGACCATTGAATTTGAAAGCTGTTCTTAAAAATGAAAAAAACGTTGATTGCTCAACTGAGAGTTCAGTGATTAAACATTTGGTGGTGATTTTTTTTTTTATTACGCTTAATTTGTGTTTGGTGTCCGAGATGTCTATCAACAATATGGGAGAAGATATTTTTGAGAAGATTGGCCACAGTAGGGACTTATGGGAATAACCCTGGCAGGGGATTTAGCATGTCGTTGTCCACACACCATGTATGTGTGGCAGCAGCAGGGGCGGACTGACCATTTGGAAACTCGGGCACTGCCTGAGGGCCTGGGGTCAGTAGGGGGCCCCATGAAATGCCCCTGGTACCTTTTTTTTCATAGGCTTTTTTGAGTTTGGGCAAGGACACAGGGGCCACATGATCTCCTATTGGAGTGTCCAGGGTCAGTAGGGGGCCCCATGAGATGCCCCTGGTACCTTTTTCATAGGCTTTTTTTGAGTTTGGGCAAGGACACAGGGGCCCCATGATCCCCTATTGGAGGGCCCGGGGTCAGTAGGGGGCCCCATGAGATGCCCCTGGTACCTTTTTTCATAGGCTTTTTTGAGTTTGGGCAAGGACACAGGGGCCCCATGATCCCCTATTGGAGGGCCTGGGGTCAGTAGGGGGCCCCATGAGATGCCCCTGGTACCTTTTTCATAGGCTTTTTTGAGTTTGGGCAAGGACACAGGGGCCCCATGATCCCCTATTGCCCGGGGGCCCCATGAGTTGTCAGTCCGCCCCTGGGCCTTAATGCCCATATATGCCGCACATATGCGTTAATGGTGGCTCCCTGCGTGCACCCAACTTAATGATTGAGCTGTCACCGACAACTCTTGGTTTCTGTTTATGATCTGGTGCTGGCAGGTCAGACTCCCGATTCTATGAGCACTGTGATGGCCAATTAGAATGGTCACGGGACTGGAAAGTCCACCTTGCCTCCCGGTGCTAAGTCACAGTTAAGGGGCCACCGGGTGGGATAGGGGGTAATCGGGGGCAGACTGACAACTCATGAGGCCCCTGGGCAATTGGGGATCATGGGGCCCCTGTTTCCTTGCCCACACTCAAAACACACCCAAAAAAGCCTATAAAAAGGTACCAGGGGCATTTTATGGGGCCCACTGCTGACCCGGGCCCTCGGGCAGTGCTCGAATTGTCAGTCCGCCCCTGGGGATAATGATTCCCCGCCACCACTGCACCACAACCATGGTTACTGGGTAATTGTGACACGGCCCCATTCACTTGAATGGGTTGTGTTTTGCGGCAATACTGCCCAGCAGGGGCGGACTGACCATTTGGAAACTCAGGCACTGCCCGAGGGCTCGGGATCAGTAAGGGGCCCCATGAGATACCCCTGGTACCTTTTTCATAGGCTTTTTTGAGTTTGGGCAAGGACACAGGGGCCCCATGATCCCCTATTGCCCGGGGGCCCCATGAGTTGTCAGTCCGCCCCTGCTGCCCAGTGTGTACGACGGAATATCTGTTTTGCGAAGTGTACAACCCGCTCCGTCCACTGTGTTGGGTTTAGGGGGCCATAAGTCATGGCTCAGCCGTCTATTTTCCGGCATCCCCAGCCACGAGTGTGAATGAGCCCTTTCAATCCCAGGAGGAATTTTTCAGTAAGGGCAAGTTCACAATAGCTTTGCTCTCTGAAGAGCAATCCAGGTTCAGATTGCTTTTTAGAGAGAATTTGACAGGTGGCGAGGAGGCATTGTATCCCCTGCTATATAACCCCTTGAACCCCTGCATTGCAGGGCGGCCCCATTCACTTGAATGGATCATGTTCGGTAGCGGCCAGGGGGTATAATTCCTGCCATAGCAAAGCATTGTGCCCGTGTAATGTGTATACTCTGCTGCTGCGGGTTAATTGATGGGGGCAGTAAAATTGCAGCTCAACAGCAGAGCTTTACCACCTTCCAGCTGCTAGTGTGAATGAGCCCCAAAAGGAGGCCGTGGAAAGGGTTAACAGATCAGTAGCATGTTAGTTGGCGGACATATCACCATAACCCGAGCGATACAAAGAAGGTGGCACCGGGGCAGTGCGGCGGCTCAGACTACAATATTAATATTTGAGATTTCAATTGGTTTTTTTTTCCTTTCATCTCCCCGTTTCTCCCCTCTCACCGTCTGGCCCAATTACATCAATCTGAAGCTCTGGTGGATTATTTCCCGACCAGAACATTACGTTCTCTTCCACATGTGCCTCTCTGCATCCATCACACCGCCAGCTCCACAACAGCTGAGCAGGAGACCCCCCCCTCCCTCCTCTCCATTACCGCCCCCCTCCCTCCCCTCCCATCCCTTACCACCCTCCTCCTTCCCTTATCCAGAAAATGATTCAGCTTCTGACCATTAATACACACTGCGCTCTTTGTAGCCGCCTGGGACCCCGTCCTTTATTCCCGACACCCGGTCCTCGATTCAGGCCACGAGCTGCCGCCACATGGCCATTGTTCAGCTGTCAGTAGAGTTTAATACAAGCAGATAGAAGTGGGACTGTGCAGAGTCCATACATACAGAGTAAGGACAGATACCGAGAATGACACCCAGCATACAGGACAGGAGAAGTGGGACTGTGCAGAGTCCATACATACAGAGTAAGGACAGATACCGAGAATGACACCCGGCATACAGGACAGGAGAAGTGGGACTGTGCAGAGTTCATACATACAGAGTAAGGACAGATACCGAGAATGACACCCAGCATCCAGGACAGGAGAAGTGGGACTGTGCAGAGTCCATACATACAGAGTAAGGACAGATACCGAGAATGACACCCGGCATACAGGACAGGAGAAGTGGGACTGTGCAGAGTCCATACATACAGAGTAAGAGGAGATACCGGGAATTACACCCGACATATAGGACAGGAGAAGTGGGACTGTGCAGAGTCCATACATACAGAGTAAGAGGAGATACCGAGAATGACACCCGGCATACAGGACAGGAGAAGTGGGACTGTGCAGAGTCCATACATACAGAGTAAGAGGAGATACCGAGAATGACACCCGGCATACAGGACAGGAGAAGTGGGACTGTGCAGAGTCCATACATACAGAGTAAGGACAGATACCGAGAATTACACCCGGCATATAGGACAGGAGAAGTGGGACTGTGCAGAGTCCATACATACAGAGTAAGGACAGATCCCGGGAATTACACCCGGCATCCAGGACAGGAGAAGTGGGACTGTGCAGAGTCCATACATACAGAATAAGGACAGATACCGAGAATTACACCCGGCATCCGGGATAGGTGAAGTGGGACTGTGCAGAGTCCATACATACAGAGTAAGGACAGATGATCAGGGATGGGTTTGGCACATTTCGGAGATTGCAGGACCGAGAACACCTTCATGACGATTTCAGTCCGAAAGCGATTTTCCTCCAGTGGAGATGGGCAGACGGAGGCACAGAGACGATGCGGGGCCCGGCCTCTCCTCCCATCACAATAGGCGCTCAGTCTGCTCCCACAATGTACACTCCAGGTTTCAGCAAAGAGAGTGACTTAGTGAGCAGAGGAGGCCGTGTGTTACATTGTATCCAATACCCACCAATCCCGCATGCAGGAATGTACCGCGCTCCTCACAGATTCTCACAGAACAGAACCTTACAGGTCTGCAGATGAAATTCCTGACATGTTCTTTTATACAGCAACCATATCTTCTTTTTTTTTTTTTTTTTTTTTTACAAAATCCTTGAGCTCCTGTCCTGGTAAATGGTGTTTTCAATCTGCTGCATTCAGTAGGAAGCATTTTCTTAGTCTCTGCTACACCAGTGATCACTCAGACTGTACATTGTAACTTTGTAGCAAAGTTCAAGGCTGTAGCAGGGGCTGATCTGTGTCAGACTTTTGTGAACACAGCCAAGAACTGTACAGACATCAGGATTTATGTGATTGTATTATCTCTGAGCCGGCATCACAACATGCTGCAGTACATTCCGACACTCTGCAGCACACAGAAGAAAATGGCAGCAAAAAAACCCCTCAATGTGCATAAGGCTTCGTTCACACGGGTGTACTGATCCGTACAACTGTTCAAAGGGCTGTCTTCAGCCTACCAGGATGCACAGGTGTTCTGTTCAGGGGCACGCAGGCAGTCTGTCAAAAAACCAATGACAGGAGGACAGCTACACGCATCCCGGAGTGTACATCAGTGTGGGTCCGGTGCATGGATCAGAAGGCAGTCTGTCTGTGTCCTGAACCATGCATTGGACCCGCATCCTGGGATGTGCGTGCAGCCGTCCGCCTGTCGATGGTGTAGTACCCTGTAGTGTTGAGAGTAGTTAGAGACTTGTTAGAGGGGGGTTACTTCAGCTGGAGAGCTCTACAGATCACTCCTCTGGTACCCCCCCCCCCCCCCCCGCTCTAGAAACTTGGTGAAGCTTCTGGAAGCCAGTAGGCAAAGGTGAGGAGGGGTTGATCTGCATATTTATGACCAATCCTAGGCCGATGGGCCTGGCAGCGTGGCAGCCCATAAATATAACAGAGCCTGGCCAGCAAGGGAGTCGGGTGGAAGATTGAGTGCTGAGAGGTGCTCCTGTGTATCCTGGGAGAGGGCCCCAAAGAAGGGGGGTCCTGCCTCTGGGCTGAAGTAGGGAGCTCTACTGCCCTGCAGTCCACTGGGGAAGGACAGCCTGCATAGGTTGGAGAGGAACCAGCCCAGCTAGAAGGCCTGAAAGCAGTTCTATCCATAGCTGTAGGACAAGGACTGTGTGAGGACCCCTACACCCCCAGTACCTAGAAGGCAGAAGTCTGCTGGATGCAAGTTCTGGCAAGTCTTCAGGGGACAGTTCATAACTTACCCAATCCCTTGTCTTGGGATCAGATACCGGAGCCAGGTGGACTGATATTTTCTTCACTCAGGGGACTTAGAGGTCCTACAAGTTGGGACCATTCAAAGGGAATCTGAGCTCCTGCAAGCCGCCACTTTGCTAAAGACTTTCAGCGTTCCGGCTGGAACAGTCATTCAACTGCCATTTTTGTAGTAGTCTAGAGATGCAAATTGCCCTCAATTGTTGTTCTACAATCAGGTTGGGCATCCTATTACCCCTCTACCCTATCAAAGTTAAATTCTATTAAAATCCTAAAATCCAAGCCCATGGACTGTTTCTTGTATCGGGAAAATCCAAGTTGCGTGGCCATGCAGGACCCAACACCACAGCGGCTCCCAAGAGGGTAGCGCAACATTGGTTTCGACAGGCTGCCTGCATGCGCCTGCACGGAACAGCTGTGCATCCCGGGTGGCTGAGGACAGGCATACAGATCGGTACGCCTGTATGAATGAGGCCTAAAAATGCATCACAGCGAATGCCCAAACGCACGGCCACACAGATTATCAGCACATTTCAGCGGACGTGCTGGCGCGCGTCGGGACTCGGGCCTACCGTACAGCCACTTTCGGGGTAGCAGACGGGCAATCAATGACAGGCGGCCGACAACACGGACCTGCACAGACCTTCACACGTATCCTGATCTGTGCAGGTCTAATGCACAGATCAGAACTCGGTCTGTGCCCTCGGGATGTGCGTGAAACTGGCCACGTGTCATTGGTTTTAACAGGCTACCTACACGGAACACCTGTGAATTATGGGTGGGTGAAGGTGGCCCTTTGCATTGGGGGGGGGGTGTACGGATCTGCATGCCTGTATACCTAGAAATGGTTCAAAGAGCACGCAAACGCTTGGCCGCACACATCATCAGTGCGTTGATGCATGCTGTATGATGTGAACCTACCCTAAAGCCACCCAGGGTAGCAGGCGGGCAACTTGGCTTTCCTCAGACCTTCACGTGAATCCCTGCATGGATCAAAATCCAGTCTTGATCCCTGTGCACCAAAGGATGCGCGTCCAGCTGACCGCCATTGATTTCAACAGGTTGCTTGCGTGATCCTGCATCCCGAGCGGATGAAGATGGCTCTTCACCCGGGGGGGGGGGTATGGAGCAGTACGCCCGTGTGAACGAGGCCTAAAAATGCATTACACACAACAGTGCATGTCAATGGGACATATTGTGGACCTACTGGAAGGTTCCCATGGCTCTGTGTCTAATCATTGCCTTCACACCTCTGTCCAGTGCCCATGTCATGGTGTTGGTGGCCTTATCAGTCCTCATGTTGTGGTGTTGGGTGTCCTTATCAGTCCTCATGTGTAGAGCTGGACATTGTACGCACTATCAGGACAGCAAGTGGCCCTTAAGCTGCTTACATTAGAGGACCTCCAGGCTCAGAGTGGGGGGTCCTGAACAGAGGGGGGGGGGGGGGCATTTCCCCTCCATTAAAAAGATAAGGAAGGGGATTTGATAACAAAATCTTCCTTATGTCCCAATTGGATTCCTATGGTGCAGTGGTAGAGTTTTGTTAGAAATTTCAATTTCCTATTCGTTGATGGAGTCACATTGGTATTCAATTTTGAATGTAGGGCCCAGAAAATTTTAAGGAGGGGAAGGGGGACAAAATTAAAAATGTATTTCTAATGAATCCGCTGCTCCCTTGCTACCAATGGAGCCAGGTGCAAAATAGAGGAGTGAAACACAAGATGGCGGCCTCCTTGGCAGGTTTAGATCTGCTTTAATGTATACAAATTACCAGGTCCAGATGACTAGTGCCCATGAGTTCTTCGAGAACTTAGGCGTTCAATTTCAAAGGTAGTTCTGAGAATTTTTGAAGGGGAAGGATTGAAATTTTTTTTCTTGAGCTAATGTATTTGTAATTAATCTTGTAGACTTCACCTCCGCAACGTCTCCAAGATACGCCCATTAATAACCTCTGAAACCACTAAGCAGCTTATTACCTCCCTGGTTATCTCTCGCCTTGACTATTGTAACTCCCTCCTCATTGGCCGACCTCATCGTAGGCTATCCCTACTAAAGTCATCATGAATGCTGCTGCCAGACTCATCCACCTCACTAACTGTTCCCTCTCTGCCAATCCCTCCACTCAGTGTCCTCCATCCCTCTCTGCCAATCTCTCCACTGACCTCCACTCAGTGTCCTCCACCTCTCTGCGCCAATCCCTCCACTGACCTCCACTCATTGTCCTCCATTCCTCTCTGCCAATCCCTCCACAGGCCTCCACTCAGTGTCCTCCATTCCTCTCTGCCAATCCCTCCACTGGCCTCCACTCAGTGTCCTCCACCTCTCTCTGCCAATCCCTCCACAGGCCTCCACTCAGTGTCCTCCACCCCTCTCTGCCAATCCCTCCACAGGCCTCCACTCAGTGTCCTCCATTCCTCTCTGCCAATCCCTCCACTGGCCTCCACTCAGTGTCCTCCGCCCCTCTCTGCCAATCCCTCCACTGGCTTCCCGTTGCCCAACCAATAAAATTCAAAACGTTAACAATAACATATAAAGCCATTTATAACTCTGCCCCAAATTATATCACCGATCTTGTCTCCAAATCTCAAACCGTCCTCTCCCCTCCACGCACAACCTCCTACTCTCTACCTCCCTTGTCTCCTCCTCCCATTCTCGTCTCCAGGACTTCTCCAGAGCCTCCCCCATCCTCTGGAACTCTCTACCCCAAATTATCAGACTATCGCCTACTCTGCTCACTTTTAGGAGATCTCTGAAAACCTATCTCTTCAGGGAAGCCTATCCGGCCTTCAGCTAATAACCAAATCTTCTATTCCTCCTACCAGTCCATCCCCCACAGTTATTACCTTTTGTACCACCAGCCCCTTCCTCTTAGACTGTAAGCTCCCAGGATCAGGGCCCTCCTAACCCTCTTGTATTGAACTGTGTTGTCTCCCGTTATATTGTAAAGCGCTGAGCAAACTGTTGGCGCCATATAAATCCTGTATAATAATCGGCTGCTCCCTTGCTTGCAATGGAGCCAGGTGCAAAAGAGAGTGGCTAAGTGGTTAGCACTTCTGCCTGGCAGCATTTGGGTCATCTGTTCGAATCCCAACCATGACACTACCTGCACAGAGTTTGCATGTTCTCCCTGTGCCTGCGTGGGTTTCCTCCGGGTACTCCGGTTTCCTCCCACACTCCAAAGACATGCTGGTAGGTGAATTGGCTCCTGTCTAAATTGGCCCTAGTATGTGTGTGTATGAATGTGAGTTGGGGACCTTAGATTTGTAAGCTACTTGAGGGTTAGGGACCTTAGATTTGTAAGCTACTTGAGGGTTAGGGACTGATGTAATTACCTGTAATAAATAATAACGCAAGATGACCGCCTCCTTGGCTTTAAATTATTGGAGGTTTTAGTTCTGCTTCAATGTATACATATCACCAAGTCCAGGTGGCTTACACCCAGGGGCGGACTGACCATTTGGAAACTTGGGCACTGCCCGGGGTCAGTAGGGGGCCCCATGAGATGCCCCTGGTACCTTTTTCATAGGCTTTTTTTTAGTTTGGGCAAGGAGACAGGGGCCCTATGATCCCCCATTGCCCGGGGGCCCCATGAGTTGTCAGTCTGCCCCTGCTTACACCCATGAGTTCCTGGGAACTTAGCTGTAGCCTCAGTAGCGATGGAGCAGTGGCCTGAGGACATTTTGCTGGTTCAGCCAGCAAGGCTGCCTAAACAAAGGGTCAGTTTACTATCTTACAGATTTAAGGGGGACCCCGACTATGGCCATTGGAAGTAGAAAATGTCCCGGCATCATTGGGAATAAACAATTTCCCATCTTTGGTGCCAGTGAGGTGAATTGTGCCCCATCGTTGGTGTCATTTGGCAAGAACAATATTGCCCCAGTGTTTGTGTCACGAGGAGGAACTGTGCCCATTTGTTGGTGTCACTTGGAGGAATTGTGCCCCGATGTTGGTGTCAGAGGATGAAATCTAAAACAAGGGCTGGATAAAAGCAAGCAAAGGGCCGCGGTGCTGCAAGTGCTGGCCACTAAGCCACCGTATTGGCCTTGTTATGATGAGCACCTTCGTAAGTTGCTTATGCCTCTTGGTCACATTATTTAATGGTGGCCGATGTTCTCCTTTAAGGATGACTATCCCGGAAATGATATCTGATCACTTATGACACCGTGCTTGCCCCCACCATACCCCTGATAGGCTGATGACCAGGCTGGTGACTGACTGGGGACAGAGGAGAGCACCTTCAGCTGGTATCTGATCATTACACATGTCCTCCTGGTGACAGCAAGTGACAATGCAGACAGCTGAAGCAAGAGCCATAAACCCACCAGGGGCCCTCAAGGGTGTACATTCACACCTCCCCCTAACAAAATACAATTTTTGGCAATCTGTAAACTTTTGTACAAAACTTTAAATGTTTTTAAAGAACAATTCTAGGCAGAGGGATAATAATGGCTTGCAGTACTTTAAGGTCAACTGAGTGACACATCTCACTATAGTTAAAGTCTATGTATAGACAAATCTTTTTGTTTTTTTTTTGTATAATCTTGGGTAGAGTAGGAAGAGTTAAAATCCCGGCAAGGTTATTTTTTTTGCCGTTTAAGGGAAATTTCCCTTTACTTCCTGTCCCATGGACGCAACAGGAAGTTAGAGGAAATCTCCTCCTCTAAGCTGGCCATACACTGGTGGAATTTTGTAGACAATCTTTCGTTTTTAAGAACGTTCATTTGATTTTCTAATCTATAATGGGTCAAATTGACGTTCGTTTTTGAGTGACGAGAAAACTCGAAGGAGCGAGGATGGAAATTGTTTTTCTCGAAGGAACAAATGTCCAACAGTGAATGCGATTTTTTTTCACTGGGTAAATTCCATTCATTCCACAACTGAATGTGAAAAGGAAAATTAAATTTGAACGTTTGCCAAGCTGCCAAACATACTGAGAATTTTTGTACAAATTTTCATACAAATTTTCGTTCAAAAAATCAGCTAATGTATAGCCAGCTTTGGACAGGTGTCCCCATCTGGAGATTCCCCATTACCTGTTGTTCTGGGGAAAACTGTAAAATTTTGGGATTTCTTTTTCAGTGGCCATGGTTCAACTAGAGAGGTCAGTCTCACCAATGGGCAGAGCAAAAAAAAAAACTTGACAGAGGGTCCAACCCTTCCCTACTCTGTTCAAAGCTAAAATGAAATGGAGATGCACTTTAATTGGAGTTGCTTGTAATTCATTGCAGCAAGAATCCAGAGAGCACTTCACAGGGTCCCTGGGGGGACACTTCTGGAATCCTATGCTGTGCAGCTTCCTCTCTGCTTCTTTATCTGCAATCATGTTCAAACACGTTTAGTCTATGTAGGTGAGGAATTGCCTCTGTTACTTACCATATGCTCGGCTGCGGCAGGTTCCAGCATCTTCCTCTTCTCCCAAGCACTTCAGGTTGTGGGCAGTCCCTCTGTGTGGTCAGGTACAACGGAGGGCCATTAACCCGGCATTGTACGTAGAGGAGGCAGACGTGACATCATGTCCAAGAGTGACTTAGAGAAGAGGCTCTTGGGACTGGACCCATTGCTGGAGGTCCCCTGATGGAACAAGGAATTACACCTTATCCCTAAACTTGGCAAGCAAATGACCCCTGCAGGGACAAACACAATATTCCCAATGCACATGTACCTGAAAATGGCTTTAAATGTAAATCAGAGCTGCAGCTACCACCAGAAACCGAAGATATTGAAAACGAGGCGTAGGGTCACCACCACACCATGGATCTCCAAAATGGGTCCAAAGGTTTATCCAGCGATCACATCATAGTTGCAAAGTCAACGTGTCTGAGCTTTGAAGGACACCTTCATCGTATGCCTGATGAAGGGGTCCTGCAAGGCTCCAAAATGTCGCCTTTGTAACAATGATGTGATCGCTGGATTAAGCTTTGGATCCATTCTGGAGATCCATGGTGTGCTGGTGACCTACTTCTCACCTTGCAGTATTGGGGGTCTCACGTCAAGGGCACATTTTGCCTAATTCCTAGAATTCACCTTTACTTTTCGTCCTGAATGTGAGTGAGAGCAAGGATCCTGCTGTGGATGTGGTTGGGAATCTTTCTCCGGCAGCCTAAGCCAGAGTTCCCAGATCAATAGATTCCCAATAAAAGGGAGCCATGTGGTGCACATGGCCTACACATAAACCTCATGAAGAGATCCTCCCTCAAACTAGGACCTTGATGCTACAAGGCGAACAATCTTCTATCCTAGTCTTACCAGGGGTGGACTGACCATTTGGAAACTCGGGCAGTCCCCGAGGGCCCGGGGTCAGTAGGGGGCCCCATGAGATGCCCCTGGTACCTTTTTCATAGGCTTTTTTGAGTTTGTTTCTTTAAAATGTATTGCATTCCAAGAAACGGTTTACTTGCGTTTTTTTTCTTCCTGCATTCGCAGGTATCGATATATGACTTGAAAAATGCCGAGATTGAAATGCACAGTGCATTTTCCACATGCTGCCATTGGCTATAATTTAATGTGTATTTGGTTGCTGCATGTTTTGTTTAAAAAAAAAACGCACAAAACGCACTGCCCTTCAATGCAACGCACTGATGTAACGGTAAGCCTGGGTTCACATATATGTGGTGCGGTATGGCGCATGTGATTCGCACAGGAACCGCACCGCATTCCTGTGCAAATCGCATGCGATTTTTGTGCCGTCCGATTGGAGCCATACATTTTGTATGGGTCTATTTACACCGCACTAGAATCGGATCGCATGGGTATTCAAGATTCTAGTGTGGACCTAAAAAAGGGTCCTACACCTTTTTGATGCGATTAGAGCCATACAAAATATATGGCTCCAATCGCACCGCACACAAATCGCATGTGATTTTGAACAGGAATGCGGTGTGGTTTCTGTGCGATCCAATTCTGCACATCGCACTGCGTTTTGTGGACCGCTTTCGGGGTGTTAACATACACACCTGCAGCGGTTCGCATGAACGGGGTGCGATTCTGGTGCGGAATGCAGAAAATGCTGTGAATTCCGCACCGCATCAGTGCAAACCAGGGCTAAATCATTTTCATGTTCTTTCTGCGTTGTAACACAGGCAAATCAATATTTATTTTCATTTATTTCAGGTACTTATATAGCGCCGTCAATTTACGCCGCGCTTTACATATATATTGTACATTCACATCAGTCCCTAACCCTCAAGGGGCGTACAATCTAAGGTCCCTAACCCTTCATGGGTGTACAATCTAAGGTCCCTAACCCTTCAGGGGTGTACAATCTAAGGTCCCTAACCTACATTCATACACATACTAGGGCCAATTTAGACAGGATCCAATTCACCTACCAGCATGTCTTTGAAGTGTGGGAGGAAACCGGAGTACCCGGAGGAAACCCACGCAGGCACAGGGAGAACATGCAAACTGAAGGCAGGTGGTGCCACGGTTGGAATTCGAACCAAAGACCCTAGTACTGCCAGGCGGAAGTGTTAACTATTTAGCCACTGTGCTGCCCAATATGATGTGAACGGGCCCTTAGCTCTTTAGTTTAAGTTTGATTCCCACCGATCCTGTCCCAGGCCCTCCCCAAGAGTGATCCCCCCCCAGGGGTGGACTGTCCATTTGGAAACTCGGGCACTGCCCAAGGGCCCAGTGAGATGACGTAGGGTCTTCGCCACACCATGGATCTCCAGAATGGGTCCAAAGGTTTATCCAGCTATCGCATCATAGTTGAAAAGTCAACGTGTCTGAGCATTGAAGGACCCCTTCATCGTATGCCTGATGAAGGGGTCCTGCAAGGCTCCAAAATGTCGCCTTTGTAAAGAATGATGTGATCGCTGGATTAATCTTTGGACCCATTCTGGGAGATCCATGCCCGAGGGCCCGGGGTCAGTAGGGGGCCCCATGAGATGCCCCTGGTACCTTTTTCATAGGCTTTTTTGAGTTTGGGCAAGGACACAGGGGCCCCATGATCCCCTATTGCCCGGGGGCCCCATGAGTTGTCATTTGGCCCCTGAGTCTTACTAAACTTTTTCAACACAGAGGGACCCTTAAAATATCTTTCTGGTGTCAGGGAACCCCTCCTAATATTGACTGTGTCCAGGGGCGGACTGACTATTTGGAAACTCGGGCACTGCCCCAGGGCCCGGGGTCAGTAGGGGGCCCCATGAGATGCCCCGGTACCTTTTTTCATAGGCTTTTTTGAGTTTGGGCAAGGACACAGGGGCCCTATGATCCCCTATTGCCCGGGGGCCCCATGAGTTGTCAGTCCGCCCCTGAATGTGTCTACAACTTATGACACATTCATGTGATGGTCAGTGGGAAGACTTACCCCCTTACAGATAGCTAAAAGGATCAGTGATGTCAGTGGGAACTTATCTGAGAGGCAGAAATTGCCCAAGGAACTCCTAGCAACCTCTGGAGGAACCCTAACCCTAGGGCTCCATGGAACCCTGGTTGAGAAACCCTGTTCTTACCATATATAGTCTTTCATGATGCGCCATCAGAATGTATTTGTAGGACTGTTTGATTGATTATCACTTTGTCACAAATGGTTCCAGTGTTGTCAATGTACAAGTATTGCTTGTCATATAAAGATTAAAAACTTACACAAATGTACGCAATTTCTAAGTCTTTGAAGGACACGAGCAGGGGCGGACTGACCATTTGGAAACTCGGGCAGTGCCCAAGGGCCCGGGGTCAGTAGGGGGCCCCATGAGATGCCCCTGGTACCTTTTTCATAGGCTTTTTTTCGTTTGGGCAAGGACACAGGGGCCCCATGATCCCCTATTGCCCGGGGACCCCATAAATTGTCAGTCCGCCCCTGCCCCCCCGGTATACCAAATATTCCCTTTTCAACAGATGATGCAAAAAAAAAAAAAAAAATCAAACAAATTCCATCCAGCCAGGCTGATCTTTGCGCACATACACAATCAGATGGTCACCTAAACCAACCAGAATCGCTTGCGCCAAGCAGTCTTTGGCGTTGGGCGTGCAAGTGCGTTGATACCCTAACACTTTTGCTACTGCTGTGGAATTTGGGGGAGGTGGGACTGGTTTAAAGTCACACTGAAGAGGAAATCGAGTCAGCGGCTTTCTTTCAACAGCTGTTTTTTAGGCAGGAGGCCTTCCTCCCTCCCCCTCAAAGCATACCCTCCTCAGCACTCACACACAACTAGCCCCCTCCCCTCCTTACATCTGTCACTGGCCTTTACCCGCTGACGGCAGACGTCCCCTCTGTCACTCAGGACAAGCCTGCGTGTTGTGAGGAGGAGGAGGGGGCATATCTTCCACGCTGCTTAGTTGACAGACTGAGGACAGTTGTTTTTTGGTCCTTTTGGCTACCGGAGAGGGCCAGTGGTCAGCCAACGCAGGGGCCCCCCTCCACCTCCACTCTCTGGCGTCTCTGGGGCACTTCTCGAAGGAAGAACGGCTGATGAAGGACGGTCTCTGGCGTTCTCTCCCCCCTCCGCTGTAAGTACCTTCTGCTTTCCTCTATCCCCCCCCCCCCCCTCGTACGGCCGAGCAACGTCGTCGGTAGGCTACAAGGGTCTTTTCGTCAGCAGCGCTGAAAGATTTCACACGAGCTCCTTATAAGGCATGGCTTATGGTATACAGTACAGGCACCTAATCTGGCCGAGGAAGCTTGGTAGAGCTGCTCGGTTTATCCCCTCCGGGTCACCCGGCACGGTTTCAAGTGTGCCCCCCCTTTTCCTTTTCTCCCGGCGCCACCACGGAACAGTTCCGGGAGCAGGCCATGGAGGAAAAGGCTCACAGACAGAAGGGCTTGTTTATAATCCCATCCAGATCCTCAACTTCACGCAATCTGCAAAGTTTTAACTCCTCTCTTTCCAGCGCCGATCCCCAAACAAGCGATTTCAACTTTTTCCTGGTATTTTTTGGGGGGGTCGGAGTTAGGAACGTTGAGTGGGGAATTGGTCAGCCAAGTCAGGTTCCCTAAGTAGCTCCATAAGTGTTTTATCCAAAACGTTTGGTCCTTTTATGATCGCTTTGGCCAGGTTGTTCAGGCCTTTCCTTAGATCTTCGTCTATCTTTGGGGACATTTGTAAGAGTAGCGCATGTTTGAAACTTTTTCCTGGTATTTCTTGGGGGGACCAGAGTTGGGAACGTTGAGTGGGGAATTGGTCAGCCAACTCAGGTTCCGTAAGTAGCTCCATAAGTGTTTTATCCAAAACGTTTGGTCCTTTTATGAGCGCTTTGGCCAGGTTGTTCAGGCCTATCCTTAGATCTTCGTCTCTCTTTGGGGACATTTGTAAGAGTAACGCATGCTTGAAACTTGTCCGGTTTTGGCCTGTTTTGTCCCAAAGTGCCAGTTGTAGTAGGCAGTTGGGTTCCTATTAATAGTGTGTGAGTTAGATAATTAGGAAAACTATTAGCACAGGTTTTGTACAATATTTTGTTTTAGTCACTTGACTTTATTCCGCTTTACCGAGAACACAGAACCATTCACATAATTTCCTGCCCTGAAAGAGTTTACAATCTGATATCCATTCTATAACTAATACAGTCACATACACGCTGCCATTAGTTTAGATGGATTGACCCATCAAAATGTTTTTGGACTGTAAATGGAAACATGCTCAAAGGTAGGGAAAATGTATATATATCCATGGGAATCAAACCCAGATCCTCCACACAGCAAGGCCTCAGCATTGGCCACCACAAGGATTAGACTGCTTGTGTTGGAGGAACGGTTGTTGGGGTGGTTGAAAACTTGAACCCAGATACTTGACACTACAAGGCCATAGCATTGACCACATGAGGATTAGACTAGTTGTCTTGAAGGAATGATTGTTGGGATGGCTGGAAATTTGTTTTGTTTTGGGCAGTGTATGCAGATGCCAACTGACATCTTCTGACCATGTAAATCCGGAGGCTGACAGAAAAGATTGTACAAGGACATCTTTTGTGTGTGTGTGCAATTGAAGATGAGCATAACCAAAATACGGGTTTATCACTTAAGAGAAAAGTCATAATTTTCTCATCTGTGATTCTATCTATCTATCCATTCAGTCGTATACGACCCTTGGCGATTGCATGGACCGTCACTCGCAAGCGACTTCATCCATGAATTCTCTTGGCAATTATTTTACGGGGTAGGTTGCCAGGTCTTTCCCTAACCCCTACCATGCAGGAGATCCTGCATGGCCGGGGATGAAACTAGGACAATTTAGATAGGAGCCAATTAACCTACCAGCATGTCTTTGGAGTGTGGGAGGAAACCCACGTGAACACAGGGAGAACATGCAAACTCCACTTCCTCTACTTGGTCGGGAATCGAACCATGACCCAGTTACTGCAAGGCAGAGGTGCTAACCACTAAGCCACTGTGCCACCCCATCTGTGATTAATTACTATTATTTTCCTACGGTGGGTACATTAAGGTATCTGTGAAAAGACAGGAATGTCTTTAAGAACATTGAGCATGGTCACGTTGGTGGACTTCCAGACACTGTCCTTGGCTGTTGATCACTGCGGTTCAAGATGAGTGTAACCAAAATACGGGTTCATCACTTAAAAGAGAAGTCATGCTTTTCTCATCTGCGATGAATTACAATTATTTTCCTATGTTGGGAACATTAAGGTACCTGTAAAAAGACATTGGGCATGGTCAGGGTGGTGGACCTCCAGGACACTGTCCTGCTCTGTTGATCACTGCATCCCCCAATTATTGATGAATGCTCAAGTGTGTTGCGTCGTTTGAATATTGGTGCGTGTGGACCACGATGAGGTCAGTCCTTGTATAGTTTTATGTTGATAGTAGTATATTTTTTGAGGTCCTCGTACAAGTTTCAATCCTCATTTTTTGGTATTCCAAATCCAATCCATTATTATTAAAAGCGTGTATGTAGGATCAGTTTTATTTGGATTGAAATGGATAAATAGGCTGGAATATTGTTGTTTGCTCTGTGGTTATAGCGTGTGGTGTGTTCATTGTCCTGATTCAGTCTTGTACAGCATGCAAGCAACAAAATGAACATTTTTATTGAGAACTGTTGCAACATGAGCTCAGTCGAACACAATAGCAAACACAAATGTGGCACCGTCAAAAAAAAAATTAAAAAATTGTGATCATGTTTACTAAACATTGATGCTCTCACATTTAGACATCAATTTTTAAAAAGTTTGCGCAAACGTTTCAATTATTTAGTCCTTCTTTAACACCTCCACCGGTCTACTCACTCACACTATTTTTGACCAATTTCAATCACGAGCGACCAGTGGCAGAAGCAAACAAGTTGCATTTCATTTATTAAAAGCCAGGTTTAAGGTGTTTGAAATTGGGGTGTGGGATCAGAGTTGGTTACTTTGGCAAGCTTTTCTTTGTTTGCTTAGTGTATTAGGTACTTTTACATCAGGACTGGACAAATTACAGGAGTCAGATGTCCAATGCTCCTTAAAAATTACAGCTGGTGCCTCCAATTTCCAATTTTTTTTTTTTTTTTTTTCTGACGTTGTGAAAGGAGCTGGCTCCTAAAAAGAAAAAAACAATTCTGCCTTCTCCAGAATTGGACATACTGGTTCCCGAAAAACTTCACTACCCCTGTTTTACAACTAAACGTTCTACTTATTTTTTTTTTTTTTTATTGTACTTTAGCCTGATCGTAAAAAGTTACTTTTTCATTTTCTTGCGCCTGTGACGATCTTTATATGTGTGCCTAATGAATTATTACAAGCCAACGTTTCCGAATGACAAGAATTTGCTAAATTAGTCATGGATAAATTCCAATTTTGAAAATTTGTATTCTAGAGCTTCAAGGAAAGCGTTTGTTGAATCGACAGTCGCCTGTGGCGCTGAAAGAATGTTTTTACTTCGCTAGTGCAAAGGCTGATGGGGCCTCAAACTGTCCAAAATTGAAGGAAATAGGCGTTGAGTGTGCTAATAAAATATTAAAATTCTGCTCTGGAGGTCGCCCTATTTACTGCTTCGATATGCTGTTTCAGGGTAAAATTGTAACCCCTTTTGTACCATTTTTACTGTTGTACAGACAAGTCTTCTAAAGTGTTGTTTGTTCCATTGTCATACACACGTGTTCAGAGTGTTGGACCTGTGGCTTGGTGAGGGAAGTGAAATTTGACTGTTCGGGGGTTAGCAGTTTTACTTGTGAAGGAGAGCTGCTGATACAAGTGCAGAGAAATGTTCACAGTAAAATTTTCTTCAACTTTTTCCACACATCTGTTTCTTTAGTGGTCAGTTGACACTTCTATGTATGAATAAACCCCATTCTTTTCTAAAGGAAAACTTTTGTTAGATTCGGATAGAGTAGTGAAGGGTTAGAACCACTGTCAGGTTTTTTTATTGCGGTTTGTGTCCCTATTAGGAGATTCAGTCTCTCCTATTGTCTCGATCACCAATATCAGTGGGAATGCAACATTTTGAGTTGCCCTCAGACTAGAGGGGAAATTTTCCAATGGGGACACTTTGTTCTTCTGCCAGCTGTCTAAGAGGGAATTTTCCTCATATTGTAAAGATAGCCTATCACTTCTTGTTGAGCCTACAGTGTCAAATTGAGGGCTGCTGGCCCCAACATGTGTTTGTGCCACCATGTTGTCATGAGAGGACAGGAAATGATGGGACGCAGATAGCCAAAAGAAAACCCATCTCTACTCTACCCAAAAAAATTAAAAAATGGTTGGCATTAGACATATTTCAGTGTTCCTTTTATAAGTTTTCATGTATTACAATGTGTTTTCCATGTTCTTAAGGGGTGAAGGAATTTTTTAAGCAGGTCCACGGAAAATGCACACATATGATCTATGGTTTAAAGTATGTGGACCTCCTTCAAATGATTGAGCTCAGGTGTTTCCAGTAAAGAGGTGATTCTACCACAGCATGTAATGATATTTTAGTCCATTGTGTGCTTCCAGCCTTATGACAATGTTTGGGAAGGTCTTTTTCTGTTCCACTATGACTAT